TCCTCTCCTTTTTTTTTTTTTTTTTTTTTTTTTTTTTTTTTTTTTGAGAGGTTTTTGCTATAGGGCATGTGCGCGCACCAGAAAGACAGAGAAAGACAGAGAGACAGAAAGCAAGAAATCACTTCCCAGGGGGAATGGCCATGCCGCAATCCCTTCTCCTCCATCTTCCTCTCGGGATCTTGGGCACATACGCACGTGCGCCCGGCGGGAGTGTAAGCCACTGGGTCCAGGACTCGAATCACGGTCAACAGCTTGGGAGTCCAGCAACATAGCCATTATGCCGACTGCTGGTCCCAGGTGGCTCCTTTCTCATCTCAAGCCATTAGCAGTGGTCCTACTCTGGCCTGAGCCCCAATTATGAACTCAGGAGGGAGCTTTGGCATCTTAGTTGGCCACTCAGGACCTCCTGTGATCCAGTCTCTTCCCATATATCCGACCTTGTCCACGGCCATGGATCCTAGTATTGGACCTTCTACCATAAAAACTAACCACGGCTGTTTCCAGAATCCACACCTCTGAGCCTTGGACTAGTCAACTATCTGTCCTCATATGTCTTTCTTCTAAGTATAACTTCTATTCACTCTTTAAATCCCATCTCAGATTACTTCTTTCCACCAACTTCCATCCCGGCCAATATCAGCCTGACACCTCTGACATACTCCTGAGGACAAGACTGAGTCCCTTAAAGCAGACATCTGCTCTGGATCCATTCCTGCACATTCTATTAGGGGCACTCATTGTCCTTTAGGGAAACACTCTCCCACTCTCAGCCTGTATGGCTCAGGTAAGACTCCATAGGAACACACAGTTCAAATGTGGCCCAATCAGTCCAGAGACAAGTGTTTGACCCAAAGTAACTTCTCGCCAGAACTTTTAGGATGCTTCCGTAGGTTGCCAAGAAGTGGGATGAAAGCTGGAGGTGTGGGAAAGCTTCTTTGCTCTTTTGGTGGAAGAACCAGAGAAAAAAGCCACCATAGACAAGGTAAAGTTGAAGGACAGTGAGGGACAGATTACTGGTAACATTTTGAGCACCAGCACGTAGCCACACTTGGAATTTTTTAATTCGTGAGTCAAGCAATTCTTTTTAGTACCACCAATAGTGAACTTCTATCTCTTGCAACTTTATACCTGGGCTCCATGTGGGGTCCCCAAAGGGGACCATTTGCAAAATGGTCATAATTCACCTCCCATCTGTACTCTGAACAGTCTTCTTTCATACTGACTGGGCTGAGCCTGAAGACTTACCTCGGCCAATGAGACACTACTAAACATGATGGAATCGAAAACTTGAACAGTGCTAGTAAATGGGAGTTTGCCATTCCTTGCTGCTCATGGGACCCCTGTGACCATCTCCATGTGAAAAAGCCCAGAGAGAAAGAGACATGTAGCTGGTTATCTCCATTGTCCCCACTAAAAGCCAGATGACTATTAGACATGTGAGGAGAGGCCATTCTATACCAACCAGTGGTTGTCAAACTGCCAGTTGGCTCTAGAGATGGTTCAAGCCAACCCAGATCAAAACTGTTCAGTCAGACTCAGAGAATCATGAGAATAATGTGTGTTGCTTTGTGTTTGAGGTGGTTTGTTACTCAGCGAAAGCTAACTGATACAGGTTCCTCACAGGACATGGGATGAGCTAATTTTTTCAGAACTAAACTAAATTAGGGGGCCACCTGATGGCATAGCAGTAATGCAACTGGTCCTACATAGGAAAGGTCCTCGGTTTGCTTCCTGGGGCCTCCTTGTGTATACCAATTGTGTGCACATGCTTGTGATTCAGGCTGGCTGAGACCAGCTGTTAGCTCACAGTATGAAGACCTTGTTGGGATTGCCCAGCTCTCTGTCTCTTGTGGAAGAAATAAATAAATAAAGTTTTAAAAAAATAAATAAACTAAATTAGGAAGATAGAAAGCATATCACTCCAGAAAAGAGGAAAAGCTAAGGATATAGGTGGAAGTTTGCAGACACAAGAGCTAAGTCTTAAGAGGCTGTGGCCATGAGGCAGAGGAAATAGAGTGAGCCACCAAGAGGTGCTCTTTTAAGAGAAAGGGAGTGGGATTCAGGGAATTGAAGACTCACTTGTAGGCTGCTCTGTGGGCGCCTGGTATTCAGGTTCCCCAGAAGGCTGGTCCAGGCCTGGGAAGTAGATAGAGAGATTGTGAATTAATACTAAGAATCTGAGATACAACCTTAAATATTTTTCAGCCTCTTATTAAGCTTTTCAGATCACTTTGATATTTATGGGAACTGGTTTATGGCTTCTTAGGCATATTGCTTTTTTTTAGTGTTTTTTTTTTTTTCCCTTGCCATAGGGAACATGCACTCACTGGAAAGAGAGAGACAGACACAAAGAGAGGAAAAGTGAGAAATCATCCCCCTGGGGGGATGTCCACTCTGCAATCCTCTCTCCTCCATTCTCCTCCTGGGATTTTGGGTATGCACACACAAGCACCTGGCATGAGTTTCAAGCTGCTGGGTCCAGGGGCCAAACTGCGGTTGGCTATGTGGGAGTCCAGTGCCCCAACCACTACACAACCTGCTGGCCCCTGACATTATTGTTTATTTTAATTTGACCAGAGAGAGAGAAAGGAAATGTGAGAAAGCAAGCTACCAGGTCTAGGACTCAAACTGTGGTCGAGAATATGGGAGTCCAGCACCTTAACCACCATGCCACCTGCTGGCCCCGAATTTGTTCTTATTTCTCTAATTTCTTAATATTGAAATTTAGAATATCCATTTTAGGCCTTCTTTTTAAAATTTGAATATAAGCACTTAATGCTATAAATTTACCCCTTAGCACTGGTTTAGCTGCGCCCCAAAGTTTTCATTTCTATTCAATCCAAACTGTTTTTTAATTTCCCTTGGTAATTAGTCACATTTAGATAGTCTCCTTTAGTGGCTAAACGTTGGTCTCTGTAGTTTATCTGCCTGGGCTTCAATCTCATCTCTCTCTTCTTAGCTATATAAGCTTGGAAAATCTGCTTAACTTCTCTGGGCCTCAGTTTCTTCATCTATAAAGGGGAAAAATAATAGTATCCACTTCCCTATACCATCCTATAAGTCCTCTGAGGAATCTAAAACCTATCCAAGACTCTCCTCCTACCTGGAGTCATAATGAGGAGCTGAGTCCCCTTGTCAACTAGTCCACTGTCCCCCAGGGCATTGCTGGCCAGCAGCCAGACCCTGTATTGTGTAGAAGGCTGCAGCCCAGTCAACGTAAAGGTGGTGGCCTGAGGCGGCAGGACATCCACATACAGGAACCCTGGAGTCCCCAGAGCCTCATACCTGCATGACAGGGAGAACAGTCACTTCAGGAAAGCAGCACTGGTTGCCATTCCTTTCTCCTTTGACAGGGACCCACCTGATGCGGAACCTCTGCGGCAATCCCCCATCAAAGCCAGGCTTCCATTCCAGCCCCATTGAGTGTGGGGTCATGCTCACAACCTTCAATCCTGATGGGGGGTCAGGACGGCCTTTGGGGAGGAGGAGAGGATACAAAAGGATTCTAGAAAATTACTTCCATGCTTTTGCTAAGATTTACTATTTTATTATTATTATTTTATTGAATTTTATTTATTTTTATTTATTTTATTTTAATTTGACTAGAGAAGGAGAGAAAGGGAGAGAGAGGGAGAAGGGGGGGAGGGAGAAAGCAAGTCACCGGGTCCAGGACTAGAACCACAGTCGGCCATTTGGGAGTCCAGAGCCCTTAACCACCATGCCACTTGCCAGCCCCACTAAGACTTATTTTAAACATATAATTGATTCTCATTCTCATTATTCACACTAGTTACATTCTGTAAAGTTACTGTGAATACTGAATTAGCAAATACTAGACTGTTGCCTGTAGGAGAAACACAAGCTTAGTTTCCCTCAAATCTCTTGTCAGCATTCTCATTAACCAATCAAAACAGTGGTGTGGCTGTAAAATGGAATCCTCTGCAAGGCAGTTTCAGGTTTGTGTCCAGAAATCTCCCTGTGTACTATTCCAGGCACCCTTGTGCCCATGATCTGGGCTGGCTCAAGCTGGGAGTGGATAGTGACATTGATACCCCGTTGGGGGTGCTGTCTCTCTTTCTGTCTCTTACACTCATGAATGAAATACACTTTAAAAGTTTTTAAACAAAAATGTAAATTTGTTTTATGTATATTTCTGTTTCAAGACTCCTTATTTAATACATACTGTTGGTCCACTTTCATCAAACTCATGACCAACAATAGTATAATTCATACCTGAGAAAAGTTCACAGAACACAGATATTTTCTCTATAAGGTACACCATAATCTTCTTGCTCTTAAGAACACACTTAGGTCCATTTCAGGGCTGTGCTTAGGGGCCCTCATAAACAGCATAATCATTCACAGAATGCACGAAAATGCAAAAGAGATGGCACTGAACAAACCACCAACGGGACCCTTATTTACAGGATTAACGTTGAAACAACACACAGCATCACCTTCACACCACATCAACTAGGAACGTGCACATCAGGTGACTCAATTTTTTTGCCACTCTTATGTGTCCTTGCACCATGAGTACTGATATTAGTACAGCAAATAAATGTTCGTGAGTAGGTGAATTTGCAAGTAATTTGGATGGACTATAATGGTTTTTTTGTGCTGATCTCACATCTGTTCTCCTTTTTCCTTCTGGTTACAATACCCTGAATTTCCCTCAGAATACTACTCTCCCACATTGTCAGGCCACAGGCTTCTGATGGAAATGACAATATTCATAGTAGAATGAACATGTGACCAGGCCTGGCCAATTAGAGTGTTGTCTTCCCCTGACCATATCATTGGTTCAGGGATAAACTGGAAGTCAAGCAGAGCCAATGAAATTTAATTTTAGTTATCTTCATACCACTGTTAAGAAAAGAAGGAACTCTATCTCCTCTGACAACTCTAACAGATGACTACAGAGAACCTTAGAATAAAGTCAACACAGAGACAACCAGGCTTAAGAAAAGGAGAGAGAGTCTCAATGACAGTTGCACCTACATCCAATAACTCTTTAAAATCTACTTTTCAGTTACTTGAGTCGAAAAGTCCTCATCTTTATCTTTTTCCTTCTTTTTTTTTCTTTCCTTTTCTTTTTTTTCTTTCTTCCTTTTTCTGTCTTTTATTTATTTACTTACTTATTTTTGGTTGCTTGTTGTCATTCTTTGCTATGGGTTTCCCTGAAGATCCAGTCTCCATTAGAACTTTCAGAACAAGAAAACTCCCATTCTCACTCACATTCATAAATACTTGTTAGATTTCAGAAACACTGCCAGTCTGTGGCAAACCAGGAACTTGGGAATTGACCCAGGAAGCATCTACCCCTCACAACACCCTCACAGTCCCCTCCCCACCATACCAATGCTGACGAGTTGAATGTTGGTATGGTCAGAGCCAAGGGGATTGGTGGCTGTACAGGTGAAGAGTGCATAATCTTGGGCTGCAGACACGTTGGCAATGGTCAGGAGACTGCTGTGGACCCCACCTTGGTGGTATGTGTGTTCTGTGTACCTGGACGGAAATGGGGTAGAGACTCAGGGAGAGGAATTGGGCCTGGGGGATCAGAGTTGGGGCTGGAGTACTGCTAAACCAGAACAGAGCTCACCTGGGATCCTCAGGATCCAGAGGGAGCCCATTTTTGGTCCAAGTGAAGACTACATTGGGGACACCTCGGGCACGGCAGTGAAGGGTGGCCGAACTGGTACTGTCTCCAGCTGCTGCCACCTTAGTTAGGGGAGTGGGATGTTCCACCTGGGGGGCATCTAGGAGGGGCAGGGGGAATCAACATAAGGTATATGGGAGAACATGAGAGCTGTAGGTTTGGTGGTAGGCCTTGAAGTCAGGGATTTGTGTTACCCACATCTGACAACGAGACGGACCAGCCCTCGAGCTGGAGGTGCCACCCCGTTGTCCACAATGCACTGGTAAGCACCAGCCTGGGCCACTGTGGCATGGTGAACCCGCAGACGCCCTGTAGATCCCTTTGATATCTTCTCCATATCATCCAGGCTCTGGTCCTCCTCCTCCTCTTCACCCTAGAGGCCCAACACTCAGGAATTGGTCCCCCCAATCTGGTCCCAGATCTAAAACCATTTCCCTTCTGTAGTTTCATTCTTCCAGTCATTATCACCCTTCATAGAGACTTCAAAGAAAAAAATTCTTCTGTCATCCATCCACTTATCCAGTCCAACTATTCACCAATCCAGCCAGCTACTCACCTCACACATTTATCCATCTAACCATCCACCCATCAATCCATTCATTCATTTAACCATCTACATATCCATCCATTTGTCCTTCCATCCATTCATCCATACACCCATTTATTCATCCACCTAGCTGTCTTCCTTCTATGTAGACATCTATCCACCCTTGCAGCTCTCCACTCATTCACCCTGTCTATTCACTCATATATGCACACACCCATAAATACATACATGTGTTCATCCATTTATCCTATTCATCCATATCTCATTGATCTACCTATCATTTCCTCCCTCCCTTCCTCCATCATCCATCCATTCATCCATCCAACCACCCATTCATCCATCCATTGATGCTTCCATCATCTTTCCATAAACATCTTGCCACTGATGGTGTATCCATCTAGCCGCCCTCTAATCTAATCTAACCACTCATTATTCTCAATCACCCATGCATTTATCTATTCTTTTACTTGTTCATCTGTTCTTCCATTCATTTATCCATCCACCTGTTCATCTACCCTCCTACCGGTCAATCCATCTATCCACCCACTTACCCACTCATCTGTCTATCCACTCATCCATCCATTCATCTGCCATTTACAAACTTAGCCCCAACTCCATTCACCCAAGACTGAGTCCTCACCAGCCTCTCCCAGTTGAACATCCCTGGGAGGATAGGATTGGCGTCAACTGTGCAGACTATGTCCACAGAACCCCCGACATTCACCTCAGTAGGGTCCTGAAGGGCGCGGATGGTGGGTGCATCTGGTGGGAGGCAGGGGCTTGGGAAAGGCATTTTGGCCCAGACAAGACATTGTGGGAGAGGGCCTCAGGTGGGAGGAGTGTGTTAGAGGTGCCCAGTAAAGTTAGGAATGTGAGTACAGTCTGCCCTTTAGGAGGAGCACTTGGAGGAACCGTCTCAGGGGGAGTGAAGTTGTCCCCATTCTCTACTGTGCCTCTGTGATGGGAAGTGCAAACGGTTTTCCAGGATTGGGTGGGGCCTTCCATAGTGGACTTGACTTTCTGACTGGAAACGTCTTTGGTGGTGGTGGTGAGGGCATCTCTGGGTAGATTCCACATTGGCTTTCTCTAGTGAGCAAGGGTTTCCCAGAGGATGTGGTGATCTCATAGGGGTGGGGGTAATATCCCTGCCTGGCAAGAGCTTCCCCAAGGTGGAGACTCCACAGTGGACAGAAGTCTCTGGGTGGGTGTGGTTTCCTCGGTGGGCGGGGCTCCCGGTTTCTCAGGGTGCTGAGGGAGCTCACAGTGCACATGGAGCCGCACGAGTGCTTCCGCGGTGCCCTCCGAGTTCTGGCAGTGCAATTGATAGAGGCCGTCGTCTGCTCGGGTCACATTCCAAAGCCGCAGAGCTCCATCAGGCAGAATACGATGCCGGGGACCGCCAGCTGGAGAAGATCAGAGTAAGGAGTCTGGCCAGCAGTCCTGCCCCCGGGGGACTTGCCCACTTCCCGTACCTGGGCTGAGGCGATAGCCACGGAAGGTCCAGTTGAAGGCGTCGGGAGCGGGGTTGGCGGACACGGACACCGGCAGCAGCACCTCGCCCTGCTCCACCGCGGTCACCACCAGCACCTGCTCCCCCAGGAACTCTGGAGGGTCTTGGGAGGGGCACCACAGGACGTCAAGATGGTTGTTAGGGTTGGGATCAGGGATAGATTTGAGATCAAGCACAAGTTAAAGTTGGGGTCACGACCCCATTTAAGGTTGAGGACAAGGTAACAAGTTCCTAGCTGAGTTCAAGGGTAGGGTTGGGGTAGAAGTTTAAGATCCAGATTCTGCAAAGGGTAGAGGTCAGGGTAAGGTTTGAGGGTAGAGGGATCAGGATGAACAGGGGTTGGGATAGAGGGCAAAGGTAAGAGGGGGGTTGGGCAGGACAGGAGTTAGTGTGGGGCCAGGGATCAGAGGAAAGGTCAGGAACTATCAAGGTTCGGGACAGGGGTCAAGGGCAGTGTGGGGTAGGGCTCCAGAGGGCTCCAGGCGCGCACATACAAAGCACGTTGAGGCGATAGAAGGCACTCAGGGTTTCGCGGAGCTGGGGGCTGTGGGCACGGCAGGTCACACGGTGGCCATGGTCACGGGATGACACTAGCAGAAGGACGCTCCTGGCAGCGGCGAAGCCTTTGAAAGGGGCTCTCTGGGGCAGTGCAGCCACGTCTTCCAGCCTGCAGATCAAGCAGGGATGGTGAGGTCCCCCAGGGGTGGTGTCCGGGCGGGACCAGAGTGGGAGACCAGAGGGTTACGGCGCAGGACAGCAGGTAGCGCCGAAGGAAGACACAGACTGAAGGGGGGACATGGCGGGACCTTTCACACGCTCACCTCTCCCCCTCCTTGTCCCAGGTCAGGTTGACCGGCGGGTTGCTGCTAATGCTGAAGCAGGTCAAGTTTAAGGCGTCCCCTGGGCGCAGCGCCGACGCGTTGGCCAGAATCGTCACGTTAGTTGGAGGAACTTAGAGGATCAGAGGAGCGAGGTTCAGAGGTGAAGGGGCGGCCTGGTCTGTTTCTGCCTCACCTAGGCCCCAGACGCCTCCCGGTCTTTCATCCCCAGACCAAAGCGTTCGGGTCCTAGCTTCGCAGACCAAAATGTTCGGGTCCTAGCTTCTCCGCATCCACGCCGCCTTGCGGCTCTGCCTGTGTCCCGGTGCCACCCAGCCCTCCCAGCCGCCCCGGCCGCGCGCTCACACTGCACCACGAGATGAGTGGACGCGCTGAGCTGGCCGTCCTTGCATGTGAACTGGGCCTTGTTGTCCGACGGGCCTGTGATCAGCACCAGCTCGCGGGAGAACGTGCTCCCAGACTTTTCCACACTGCCGAGCCGCATCCGCCGCGGCTCCTGGGGTTGCCTACGGTGCGAGAGTCCTGGGGGCCGAGACAGTCTGAAGGACCGCAAGTGGCTCTGCCCCTTCTCTCCCAGCCCTGAGATACCCTCATGGGGTTGATCACCGCCGGTCCACACACGGCCTTTGTTGTAAGAAGGCATTCCAGGGGCCGCAGGTGGCGTGGTGGTAAAGGGTGCTGAACTCCCACATAGTTGGTGACCACGGTTCGAGTCCCGGATCTGACGGCTTGCTTTAGCTCTCTCTCTCTCTCTCTCTCTCTCTCTCTCCTCACTCTCTCTCATTAAAATAAGTAAATAAAAAAACTTAAATAAAATAATTCTTAAAAAGATAAAAATGAGACATCAAAACCAGTGGCTGCATCTGGAGTAAAGGTGAGAGGATTGGAACTGAGCAGCCCCACCCTGGAGACTCTCCTGCCCTCCCAGAGCCCAAGCGTACTGTGGTTTTGGCGATCTGATTCCCTCATCGGCCTGTGCCCCTGCCCCTCTGCTTGCCCTCCTGGTTCCCCTGCCCACCTTCAACCTCAGGCCTCAAAATTCATTCCTACTATATTAACCAAAACCAGATGTCAGAAAACTTTCTTGAAATCCCAAGACTTGTTCAGACTGTTTCACTTTTCAAGTAACTTATTAATTAACAATTATTCACTGTACATCAGTACAGTATACAAAACGAGATTTTCCATCCAGTATACATTGTGTATCGGCTCAATCAAGGATATTACCATACATGGTATCATCAACAAATCATTTTCTATTTCTTATTTCTTATATATTTTACTTTCCCCCCCTTGATTCCCTACCTCTCACCCTCTGTCAATTCCCACTGTCTCTGATGCGTACAGTTGTTTTTCATGCCTTTTTTTTCACATTTTATTGATTCACTAAAGATGTTAATTAAAGACTTTCCATTGCAAGCACAGGTGATAAATACATATTTATGAATGCATGTCTGACTTTAGGCATAAACCTCACTCAGTAAGTAACGTGAACACACTATAAAGCAGCACCTCGCTGGGGCTGTATAGCTTACTGTAGTCATTAAATAGGTTTTAATAGGTATTTACTCATTTTTTTTAATGCTTTGGTTATTTTTTTCTCAAAATCCCCACTTCCACGAAAGATTTTCTTTGACCTTTCTCCCAATTCTAGTGTCTTCCCATAATTCTGGATCTTCCTCTACTAGTCTTATTTTCCTTATTATTATTTAAATTGCTAAGAGGTCAGTTGCACTTACCTTTAGAGAAAGGCAGAGAGGGAGAGAAAACACCCTCCTGTGGGTGGTGGTCATGCACACAAGCCGCCAGGCCAGGACTCTGACCAGTCGGCCGGCTGAGATTTGGCTCACTTACCCTCTAGGCCACCAGGCTGGCCCTAAATACAGTCTTTTATGAGAACCTGCTGTATTATCAAAATTCATATAGCCACAGAATTCCATCCAATTAAAATGTATTAATAATTCCTTGTCTGGGAACCAGCAGTTAGCGTAATGGCTATGTCGCTGGACTCCCACATAGTCGACCGCGGTTCACGTCCCGGACCCGGTGGCTTAGAACTCACGCCGGGCGCATGTACGTGCGTGCCCAAGATCCCGAGAGGAAAATGGAGGAGAAGGGATTGCGGCGTGACCATCCCCCCTGGGGGGTGATTTCTCGCTTTCTGTCTCTATGTCTCTCTCTGTCTGTGGCAAGTGCACGCACCCTATAGCAAAAAAAAAAAAAAAAACCTCTAAAAAAATAATAATAATAATTCCATTGTCTTTTCCCTTTTTCCTTAACTGCCAGAGGTGTGAGGCAGGGCAGGGACAACTGCCAGAGAGAAAAAGCACCGCCCAATTGGGTGTGTTCACACCATACTGCCCTCTCCATTTCTCCATCCTGTGGGGATTTGGGGTACACATGCACCCCATATATTTTTCAAGTCTCTGGGACCAGGATTCAAACCACAGTCTAGGGGCCAGCAGTTAACGTAATGGCTATGTCGCTGGACTCCCACGTAGTCGACCGCAGTTCGAGTCCTGGACCCGGTGGCTTAAACTCACACCGGGCGCGTGTGCGTGCGTGCCCAAGATCCCGAGAGGAGAATGGAGGAGAAGGGATTGTGGCGTGACCATCCCCCCCGGGGGGTGATTTCTGGCTTTCTGTCTCTCTGTCTCTCTCTGTCTGTCTGGCGAGCGCACGCACCCTATAGCAAAAACCTGTCAAAAAAAAAAAAAAAAAAAACCACGGTCTACCACGTGGGATCTGACTTCCTTAACTGCTAGGCTAAGTGACTAGGCCTCCTTTAATTTTAATGGAAATGTATTGCTTTTTCTCTTTAATTCCCAATCTTGACCCAGAATTCCTTCATTTATTCTAGAATGTTCGTTGTTTCTCCGGAATTCCCAGAATTTTCCTGGGGTTCCAATTCATTCTTGTGGCATTTTTGTCTTTTTCAATTTCCCGCCCAAACTCAGAATCTCCAGTATTTTTCAAGAAATTCAGATTTTTCCAAGATTCTGAAGGCGAGCAGGGGCCATGCCCTTCCCTGCATTTCTGACCACCACCCCATAGTCCTGGCTTGGCACCAACCTTATACCAGGTGAGGGAGGGGTCTGGGTTGCCTCCGATGGCCAAACACACCAGCCTCACCCGGGTCCCAGCCCGGACGTGCTGCCCCTTTGGGGGTCCCTCAATCCACAGCTTCTGGGCAGGATCTGGAGGGAGAGGAAAGAGGGGAGGTTTTTTCCCTCTGGGCTGGACCTGGGAGTAGGGTTCTGAGGCCTGGGGGCATTCCCAGGCCAGGGACAGATGGACAGGGGCTCACATTTCACATTTAAGGTGAGTGATTTCTTAAAGGTCTCCTTGGCAAAAGCCTCACTGAAAGCCTCACAGGTGAGAGTTAGACCATTGTCCTCACGCCGCGCCAGGAATGTCAGATTAGACATAGAGATGTGGCCTCCATGCAGGCCCTGGAAGGGATCAAGCTTCAGATCTGGGGCCTGGGGCACCAGAGGCCTGAGTCCACCCCAGATCACAGGAGGGACACGTGAAGTATCTCTACCCGCTTCTCCATCAGGTCCAGGAGTAGCAGACCCCGGGGCGTGCTCCTTAAGGACCAGTGCTTCCAGGCTGCCAGACCCCTCCTCTCCCAGCTCCCAAAGTTGTGCCCTCAGCCCACTCCTCACTCAGACCCAGGAGCTTGGTTCCCTCCTCACATCCATAACTGTCTCCTCCGTAGGCTGCAGTGGCCGCCAGCCCAGCCACCATCGCAGTAGGACCCGTGGGCGACTGGACTTGGAGACACAGGAGAGCGTCACGTTCTTATTCTCAGACTGGGATGCAGATCCCAAGATGGTAATGGCACTGGGGGGAACTGCAGGGATGGACGGACAGAGGAGAGCCACTAGGGTCATCTGGATTCCTCACAGACCAGCTCAGCCAGACAGAAAGAAAGGGGAAGGGGGACAGATGATGAGTTCTCTAGTGTCAGATAGGCATCATTTAGGGACACACACTAATGGGGCATGAGTTGATGAGGGGCAGCTGGTGCCAGGACTCACAGGTGACCTGTAGCGTGATGCTGCGTTCCTGGGGCCCCGTAGATACACTGTTGTGGGCCTCACAGCTGAGCCGCGCTCTGTGGTCCTCTGGCTGCACTGTCATCACCAGCACGCTGCGGGCCACTGCCTGGATGTGCTCCGTGCCCCACGTGGTGGACATGGGCTGGCCATTCTGGAGGCAAGGACAGGCCTAACCAGCTCAAGGCCAGCTCCTGGCCTCCTACCTTCTCCCGACCCCCATGCCTACCCTGCCCTCACCTTCAACCACTGCAGCGTGGCTGGCGGGTTGCCTCCTCGGGCCACACAGGGCAGCTCCAAGCTTTCCCCCGCCCGCACATGCCCTTCGTCCAGACCTGGCCACTCGATGATAGGAGGTCCTGGGGGAACTGGGACACAGCAGTCACTCAGGGGGCCCAGAGAGCCTGTCCATTCTTTCCAGGCCCTGTAATCTTTCTTTCCCATGTTTCTCCTTTGAGTGCCAGAATTTTCCATAATCCCAGTGATCTCTCCGGACCCCCAGTTCCTGCTCCCCATTCTCGGTACCCACGACTTACACAGAATGTCCATGGTAAAGGAGGCCTTGATGGGGGTGTCCAAAGCTGGGCTGGACCCCTCACAGACCAGCAACTGCCCATTATCTGAGCTCTGGGGTATCACCCTAGGGTGGGAATTTGGGGTTCAGGGGTCAGAGTCATCATCTGAAATTTAGGAATTTAAGGTAAAAAGGTGGGACTCCCAGGGGCCAGCAGATGGCGTGGTGGTTGAGGGCACTGGACTCCCACATGGCCAACCATGGTTCCAGTCCCGGACCTGGTGGCTTGCTTTCTCACTTTCTCTCTCTCTCTCTGGTCAAATTAAAATAAATAAATAAATAATAAAATAATTCTTTAAAAAAAAAAAAAAAAAGGTGGGGCTCTCAGATCCTTACACCTGGCCTAAGTCTCCACAAAGCTTCCTCTGGGTCCTGGAGTTCCGCGGTAGAGATCAACTGTGGTACTTGGGCCTAGAGGCCCACTGCTGGCCAAAATGTTTGTGCTCAATGTTCTGGAATTAGAGTCCTCATGAAGGAGTTTTCAGGGTCAGGGTGAAAAATCCATACCTGACCCTAGTTTTTTGCTTTTGTTTGTTTTTAGGTTTCTGCCATAGAGCGCATGCCCTCGTCAGAAAAGAGAGAGACAGAGAGAGGGAAAGTGAAAAATCGTCCTCCAGGGGGGATGGCCATGCCGCAATCCCTTCTCCTCCATGCTTCTCTCGGGATTTGGGGCACACATGCGCATACACCCAGTGTGAGTTTCAAGCTACCAGGTGCAGGACTCGAACTGCAGTGGAGTGAGAGTCCAGCAACATAACCACTACACCATCTACTGGCCCCTGGCCCCAGTTTTGATGTCTGAATCTCAGAGGGTAATTAGGGGTGGAGGGGAGGGGAAGGTGTTCCAGCTCCCACACCTGGCTGTAGCCTCGGTGATGAAGAGTTTCTCCTGGGACCCTTCGTTCACGTTCGTAGAGATGTCCGGAATTGTTTGTCCACCTTAGGGCAACAAGAGGGCTGGAGGGGTGCCAGCTTCCCCCAGGGTAGATCTGGGCAGCATGGCTAGAAGGCTTCTGGGTGGACATGGTGGGAAGGTGATGAAGGAAAGGGGCCTGGGGCACCAGCTCTGTCCCTTCCACCCATTCAGAACTTACTATAGGAGAGTCTTCAGGCCTAAGTCCTGGGCCTCTCTTCCTCACTTCCCTGCTGGGTTGTTTCACACACACCCCCCACCATCACCTCACTTCCTCATGACAACACTGCCCCCTCCCATATCTGTCTGAGTCTCCGGCACTTCCTGAGTCCCAGAGCAGCAGTCCTGGGGGTTCCTGGTGACCCTCGCCCACCCAGCAGACCTCACACTGGTCGCGGCACCTCCCTGTGCCTGCTCCCGGGTTCCCATCTCAGGGATGACTGATTTTCTGGGGACCCTAAAAGGGGATTAGGCTGGAACACATGCCCCTCCCCACTCCAGGGGCTTCATGCTGTCTTCACCCATCTGCCCACACTTACTCTGCAGGAAGGTGATATCGGGTGCTGGCTTCGCGTCCCCCGACACACAGCTGACCTCGTACTCCTGCCCAGCTACCCAGGTGACCGTGCTCCCTGCTTCAGGGGACAGCTGAAGCACCTTGGGGGGGACTGGTGAGAAAGGGCTCGAGGTAAGCTTCCACTACTGAGAAGGATGCCAGAATTTGGGCTGAGTCTCTTTGCTCATGAAATGAGTCCTGAGGGGTGGGGGT